GCCTCAGATGTTACTGCACAGAGAACACGTGATTGTTCTGAAGAGCTGACAGTCAACAGACGAAACAGAACCAGAGAGTTAAACCAACAACAGACCGTGTGTTCTAAGGTGAAGTCTCCGCCCGTCCTGACCACGGGTCAGCAGCCCGAGCCTCAGCAGGAGAGCTGCTCCCACCAGGAGCTGTTAACTCCTCTAGTTTTCATCACTTAGAATGTAGTGACCACGGACGTCCAAACAGTGGCAGCACTCAAATAAAACCCCACCACAGGCCGACCTGCCAGACACGTCACGGAGGGCAACCTTCGTGGTCCAGCTGACATCTTTTAAATGCAGTATTTATGGAAATTTTATGGAATGGTATGCTAACATGACCGCTAACGTGACAACAGAATCATTCCAGACTAAATTGTAAATATTTCTAAAGCGAGGGAGGTCCTGCTGGAAATTTTAGGACAAATGAACTTAATTCTTTTTTTTTTTAAATCCCACTGCTGGGAACTGGAAGATATTCCTGTCAGCTTTACCTTGTCACGACTTTATATAAATCTGTGGTGAAGTCTTTAAGTCTGGGGAACAGGCTCGACTGGTGCAGTATAATAAATGATGTTATTGTTAAATTTGAACTTTATTAATCCTTCAGGAGGATGTACAGCTGCAGTGCAGTGCAGTGCACGGAAGGAAACGTCTTTTATTTCACTCTATTGAATGCAGATGGAGTAATTCTTGGTTCTATTAAAGGAGCCAAATTATATAGAATGTATAAATAAAAATACATGTAAAAAGCGACTGCGTTGTATGGGAGGCAAAAAGCCTCAGTTTGGAAAAATGACAGTAACCTCAAAGGAAAGATCATGGCGTTTACAAAAAAAAAAAAAAAAAAAAAAAAAAAAGGGAAAGCAGAAGAAACCGCCGATGTCGTCAAAAAAGAGGTTTGATCCCTGAGGTTACTGCGTCTACGTAAACGGACGTGGGCTGAAAAAGACCACATAAATAACAGGCCGATGCTGCGGACATTAAACGCACAGCGATCGTACACTCTTGGAGAAACACACGCGCTGTGTGTGTTTGCCTGAACGACACATGTGAACGCACATACAAAATTCAGAGTCCACAGTTATTTCTTTCATCAGCCGGGACATTAACTCCCACTGACTCTCCTCCACAAATCAGCGTCCGTGGCTGAGGAACCCCGCATCTCTAACGTCAGTGTAAACAGTCTGAATGAAACAGTGTTTGATGAGACCCTCGGAGCACCCAGCACCACCCACGTGCAGTTTATGACCCCCAACTCCACACTACTGTAAGGGTCTAAGTTATGAGGGAGGGGAGTTGGGGTTTTTTTTTTCCCCCCTTTACTTTAGGAACTTCATCAGCTCAGCAGCAACTTTAGCCGCTGGACGATGTTGACGACATTTCAAAAACACTAACTGCATTCACAAACACTGCTGGCAACTTCTTTTCATCTCCACAGTAACAGGACAACAGAGCTGCTCCAGTTTAGAGGTCTGCTTCTCCTCAGCGTGGACAACCGACCAATCAGACGATGACACGGACCGTAGGCACTGTTGTGATTTGATTGGACCTTATTTAAATAATTCACAGCAAATTCATGGATGTTTGAATTTTATAACTGGTGTAGCTTTGATCAGGTAGAGGTACCAAGGGCTAACGCTTTCTCTTACAGTCTAATGCAGGTATGAGCAAACTAAGGCCCGGGGGCCGGATGCGGCCCGTTCAGCTTTTTATTTATATTTTATAATGATCATTATACTTCTGCCTTTTCCCTGCAATACCCACGTTTCCCCAATAGATGGTGTAAAAAATGATAAAAGCATTTTAGCATTTTAGCCTTTATGCATGACTTTTACATGTCATTTATCTTAGTTCACACCAACGCTCCATCGATCTGCTCCTGACCCGTCCACCCTGGACAATTGAGGCCCAGAGTCAAAAGGTTTGCCCACACCTGGTCTAATGCAATTCAAAAAGCACCAGGTAACCAGGCAATATTATAATTTATATTTATATATTATTTTTTTAAATTTGAGAATCCCTGTTTGTTAGAACTTGTTTGGGCATTTTTCACTCCATTTGTGATTAAAAGCAAAAAAAAAAAAAGTAAAGGAACAAAGCTAACATTAAAATACTCAAATTAGCCAAAATAATATTTCAAAGTGGTGTCTTATATATATATTTTAAATAGGTACAATGCACTACAAATGATTTTAAACAATGCCCAAACATATTTAGGGGCAGAGCAAGACCTGTGATTAAAAACAAATACTGTTGTTATGACTAAGTATAAAGTCATAATCCAAGACAAAACACCAGGAACTGACAGTTAACGCACATTAGTTTACAGTTCAAAAGAAGTTCAAATAAATCATATCCAGTGTTTTTACAGGGAGTTTATCTTTGACTTTTAGCTGGAAACAGACACTTTTATCATTTCAAGTTATCAAGATGCATTCCAGTTACATTAGAGGTCTCCAATAGTCATAAAAATATGGATGATAACTAAGTGGTCATCTTGGTGTTAAACCCAGGGTCAAATTCTTAATAATAAGTATTGACAGTCCATCCAAGCAAAAAAAAAAAAAAGAAAATCATAACCAACAACGGGTAGATAAGTTGTGGGTACTTCAGTGAACTGTGGACAAACAGTCTGGTGCTAAAGCCGTTGATGTAAGGTGTTGATGCCAATAAATCCAGAATAATCCTCTGGAATGATCCCATTCACACACATAGTATTCCAGTGAAATATTTTGCCATGTGACTTCTCTCCGGCCAGAATGATTACAGACGTGCCGAGATGTTATTCTTTGATTCTTGGCTAAAGCACAGGGAAGACAGCTTGGAAAAGCTTTGCAGACACAATGGATTCTGGCCAATGTGGAACAGAGTGCTGCAGTGAGAACCACTGGCAGGAGAACGGAACAGGGGGGGAAAAAATGTTGTAAAACACCCAAACATTTTGTTTGGTCGGCTTGTGGTGCTGGGACTGAGGCCAAACTTTTACTTTTGTGGAGAGTGGAGTGGAGCAGTACTTCTTCTACAGCCAGTACCTTTCAGTCACACGTATAGACTGTGTAAAGTAAACTCCATGATTACACGTCACTCACACCGTCTCACTTTGATTGTCACAATGATGATGTCAGCCAACACAGCAAATGTGTTTAAAAGAAAGTAAGTGTAAAGTATGATCTCATTTTCAGACGAAAAACACGATACAGCATGAGACAACCAGCCAATCACAAGGTGACGATTCCGATACTTGGATCCTACTGGACGATTTGCCTGTCAATCACCATCTCCCTTTTTTCAGTTTAATTATGGTTTCGTGGACAGTGATCCAGAATAAATGTAAACAGTAAATTCACACCAGTACCGCGGCCAGTTGTTACACTGTTCTCTAGTGGGAGTGCATTACCATATCTTACCACAAGAGGGCTAAGCTCACATTCTGTCCATATTTTCCTTTTGACCCCTTAAAGTCATAAGTCAGTATAAGGTTAATGTGAGTCCTTGGCTGTAGTGTTTCAGTCTAGACTGTGTATTGTTTTATGATTATCTTTATTATTTCATCCTTTTTTCTAAACTGTGTGACAAATAAATAAAAAAAAATCACATAATTCCCTTCATCTGTCTTGTTTTACGGAGAGAGATAAACTGGAGCGACTGAAGATATAAACAGAAGTTAGAAGGTTTTTTTTAATTTTTAATGAAAAACATCAACATATTTTTTATCCCATAAAAAGAGCTCAGTAACTTTAGTTCATCAAATATTTGGATAATTTGTGTAACAGAGCTCAGTAACTTTAGTTCATCAAATGTTTTACATTTTGGATAATTTGTGTAACAACATACAGTTATATGTAATAACACATATGAAACCTCCTCCAACTGTTTCTATCGCATCCTCAAAAAATATATATTTACAATACACGTGATTATAAACGTATATTTGGGTTTTGTTATGGTCTGGAAACAAAAGAAACATTAATGACAATCTTTCTCAATGACCAGTGAAAAGACATTTGTTCACATCCACAGTTGACTGTGGACAGGTTGCTAATGTGATATGTAAATTTTAGGCCTGGCTTCTTTTTCACAGGTGGGAAAAAGGCTTTTGTCCATGACTTGATCAAACAAATATCCCTGTGTGATTATTTCTGTCTCTGGGGGTTGAAGAAAGGCAGTTTATCCAGGTATGTGAGAGTCTTGCAGGTCACTAGGCCATAGTAGGTCTGTAACAGAGAGCAAAATCCAACCCTCTTTTCTTGCTCTCTCCAAATTATTTGTAATTCCTGGCTTCCCATTCATGCTGAGGTAAACAGATAGTGGTAGCAGCAGGTTTCATATCTGATGTGCTTGTCTCCGGAGAATCTGGAGCTGTGAGTTGGCGTCACACCAGCTCTCTGCGCACAAAGACCCACAAAGACGTCAGGCTGCACCAGTGCATTCACTGTTGCAGATGCCACGTAGACTTTTCGAACCACGTCCTGGGACAAGACGTAAGTCGTCCCGTCACAGTACTCAGGCAGATACTTGTCAGGGTAGAGAACCGGGGAGACGTAGCAAGGACTACGGGGATCTCTGTTAGGTGATTCTTTCTGGATCACCCTGCCAAGATAAAGGTCCTCAGGGTGCCCATGTAGATTCAGTGTGTAGCCTATGATGGCTGGAAGATTCACAAACACAGAGTCTTTGGTCAGGAGAACAAAACGTGCCATAGGGCAGAAGGCGATTACCCAACGAAGTGCCAAAATTGTCCTCTCTACGGGGCCCTGTGATGACAAGTCAGTCTCAGACTGACCTTGAATAATGTCCCCATAGCGGTCAGATTCAATGAGTAGGTTTTTTTCAGCAGCTAAATTGGGAGATGATCCTAAGAAGAACAGGACCTTCACTGAGACGCCTTGACAGACAGTCTGGTTTCCCCACGTCATCCTGACGGCGTCTCTCTGGGTGAGATTAGCCGCAGAGCTGAAAACTAGCACCAGAAGAAAGGGGTCGGAGACACTGCAGACATCAGGGTTAGTGATGGAGTAGGATCGGGACACATTCTCCCTGGCGTTGTTCAGGTCTAGTTTCCTTGCTCTCTCTCTTACATTAACAACAGCACCATTAGAGTAGACAGCGGGCGTAGGCTGCAGGAGATACTCCTCAACAAAGTCTGCTCCGAACAGCAGGGCATGGAAGAGCAACACGTTGAAAAGGAGGAAACACAACTGGTGGTTACGCATGCTGCACAAAGAGTACTGTAGTACACGAAAGAGAAAGTACCCCAAACAAGGCCAGTGAAGAGAAATTAAAGATTTGATGTATTCCAAACACAAGTACCTGCAAGACACCTGCTCGATGTATCCTGTTGGGACCAAACAACCTTCCACTGTAGTCATTAATGAGTGGAAACACACGGTGTCCACTTTCATGACACACAATAGCTGCATGTAACCCTGCACGTTCCAACTCAAGAAGAGAAGTGGGTGTCAATTCACTCAAGTTCTTTGTTGTGTCTCTGAAGTGAACTTTACAGCAATTTACAGATAAACATGTTGTTATATTTAGGTATGTTGATTAATCTTGATTATTTAGGATGAATCGTGACTAATCCACAGCTACCTTGCAATAAAAATGATTAAAATTTGTATCCTTTTGGAATGCAGTGTAAATGAGGTCTCCATGAAGTAAAAGTCTAAGATATAAATATTCAGGAACAATATAATAATAATAATAGTAATCAAATACATACCAGTCATGCAGATGCCTTTTTTGTATGCTTTACAAAAACAAGGAATAAATAAAAGAATAAAAAAATTAATCTGTTGGATTTGAAACCTGTACTTTAATCTTCAAAGCAGCAATAGAATTAGAATAAGTTAAACTTCCACTAACCTCTAACCTCATCCTGTCAAAGGTTTCCACAGATTTTTAATCAGGCGTGTCTGTTAAAAATAACCTCAAATCATACTATAATTTCTTAACATTCCACGAAGTTCTCAACATTTATAACTGCCTCCAATTCCCTCCAAAAATAGTTCACGTTAACCCCTTGACGGTTTACACCTTCTCCACCAGATGGCAGTAACGCTTATTGCTACGTAAATACGGAACAAGAAGAAGACCAGATGCGGAAGTACGCAGTATTGTATTGGTTGGTTTGATTTCACAGACATGGCTGCGACTATTGACTCTATACTGGGAGAAATAGCCGCCGTTGAAGACCCTATTGAAGAGCTCCGCGCTCTGAAAACAGCGTTGCTGTCCACACCTGTGAGCGCGCTGAGAGACTCTGTGAGCGGGCAGCGATTCGACGTCATTTTCTCTCTGCTAAACTCTGACCAGAGGTTGGTTTGACACAAAGATTTTTCTCTACACTCATTTATGTTATCTGCTGAGTCATGCAAGCCATAAGTCACTGTGAATCTGCCGTCACCATTATGTTGTAAATTTTCAAATTTTTATTATTATAAAATAATAAAATAATAGTATAGTCGCTATTAAACCCCTGCTAGTAACTAGCATGCTATGTGGCTACAATGTCACAAAATGAAAACATGGCATTTGCTCCGTAAATAATGGCAACACTACACTGTGTTGTGTTGTTTCACGATATTTGCTTCAGTAGTAGTAATAACCAAATTAAATACACATCGCATCATGTTCATTTAAGAATTAGCTTTTAAATAGATCATATTTTGTGATGGCGTTGTATTGATGAGGTTATAAAATTATGTTTCCCTCATAATATTATAATGCAGCATTAGACAAACAAGTTTTGATGGAAGTGACCCTAATGGGTTATTTTTAAATAAATAAATGTGAAAATATTATATATAAAATATAATATATTGGTAATGTTAAATTAGTAATAAGTTGTTTTATTTCAACATTATAACATTGAAATATATTATTTTTATGCAAGTATAATCCTTAATCTCCTTGTCTTATCGAAGTCTGGTAGCAAATTATAGATGACCACTGTGTTTGAAAATCGTGTGCTAATGGCTTTTTAAAAATATATTATATATATATAGTATATATAAATATCGCCAAACATTTTGGTAATGTTAAATTAGTAATGTAGTTGTTTTATTTCAACATTATAACATTGAAATATATTATTTTTATGCAAGTATAATCCTTAATCTCCTTGTCTTATCGAAGTCTAGTAGCAAATTATAGATGACCACTGTGTTTGATACTAATAAATGTCATGTGGATGCTTTTTTTTAAAAAATGTAAATACAGTGTTATATCATTTAATTTTCAGTTTCACAGCAAATCAGTTTTCTCTGTTATTGCCCCCCTCCCCTCCTGGATAAATTATTTTTTTCTTGTTGACTATGTTTGATTGTTAGGTGATTAAGTCACACACATACATTAATATAATAATGTATGTCCACTTACAGAGAGCAGGTTGAACTATGTGTGGACATCCTTGAACGCATTGTTTTGGCACTCAGCCCTGAACAGCTGGCACAGAACTACAGAGCGGCGCTGCATGCAGGTCTAAACCACCCTCATGAAAAGGTCAAGATACTGGCCTTGACACAGGTAGGACACTACACACACACACACTCACCGGGGCACTCAAAAACACATGGACAGGTACGGTATTATCCTGAGTCTGTTTTTTGTCATTGGTAGGTCAGCAGAATGGTGGCGCACCAAGTCACTCTGACACAAATCCTCAACAATCCAGACATTCTGGAAGCTGTCATTCACTGCATTGCAGCAGAGAAACTAAGTGTGGAGAAACAGGTGTGAAGGCAATAAAAAGCATGTGTAATTCATGTTCATTAGGATTCGAACAAACCTGAAATGAACTGTTGCTGTATCTGTTTTTTTCTTAACTTGGTGTGTAGGCCATTCAGTGTCTGTGTAAACTGAGTCACTCTAAGTCTGGATTGGACAAATTGTTCCAGAGCGACCTGCTGTCAGTCATGAAGAAAGTGATGGGCACCAATGACAGTGTCAGATACAGATTTTATGAGGTATGATGAGATTTGCAAGTGTCACTTTGCTTTGATACATACAGTATGTGTTAAATTATCAGTTGAGACTGTGACTAATCGGAACAGGAATCAGTGCCAGAAAGTGGGCACAGACACATTTTGGCATGACTGTGTTAAATCACACTCACAGCTTAATGACTGTTGAACTTCTCTCTCCTTGTTTGTAGCTTGTAGTGGAAATTTCATCTATTTCTCCCATTTCTCTTGGTTACTGCGCCAACAGCGGCCTTATCTCTAAGCTACTCAGTGAACTGACAGGAGATGACATATTGATCAGGTAAGAAAACAAATCCTGCACATGTAGAAAATCGTGACCAGGCGATCGATGAAATTGGTTATTTTGAGTTTTACTTACGTCCATAAAGATACTTTATTTATCCCTATAAGAAATGACTAAATATTAATACTGCATCTAAATTCCTACTGTTGGTACATGCATACAAAGGTCACAGCTAAGAACATCTGAAATACCCACAAATTGCAGGACTTTCAATGTCTGTGTAATAATTAATAGCAATTGATAGCAATTTCTTGCCTTAAATATACCAAACTATTACTCATTTGTAATCCAAATATCTAGGACAAAACAAATATTTCAACAAATCTACAACGTTGTTTTTAATTCTCACATCAGGGCCACAGCCATAGAAATGGTGACCACTCTGGCTCAAAGTCAGCATGGCCGACAGTATCTGGCCCAGCAGGGCATCATGGAGAAGATCTCTAACATGATCAGAGGAGCTGAGACTGAACCCTTCTCCTCCCTGTACCTGCCTGGTGAGTCATGTTAGAAAATACTTGTACTCCAAAATGAAAAACTAATCCCCAATCTCTGCTAATCTCCTCTGCTTGCCAGATCCACTCGTTTTAGATCCTGTAATCTATTTAATGTAGAATGTCTAATCTGTCAGTCAATGATGTGATGTAACTAAAGTGTAAACGTTCCTACCGAAGGTTTGGTGAAGTTCTTTGGAAAGTTGGCCATTATGGACAGCCCCCAGCAGGTTTGTGAGACCTTCCCAGTGTTCCTGAACAAAGTGTTTGAGATGGCTCTGGACGCTGACCCCGTGATGATCGGAGTGGCTTTGGACACTTTGGGTTTGCTCGGTTCTACTGTGGAAGGAAAGCAGGTCCTTCAGAAAACAGGTCAGCGCATGGAAAATAAAGTATTTTTTCTGATGTGCTCTTTGGCACCAGATGCTTGGTTGTTGACAACTGTTGCATGTAATTTAGGAGAAAAATTCAAAGCCGTGTTGTCAAGAGTGAGTCAGCACGCTAACACTGGAGCTACAGAGCTGAGAGTGCGCAGCTTGGACGCCATATCACAGCTTCTCACTCTAAAGGTACGCGTGTCTTCACCGGTGCTGTTTTTTTTTTAATTTCATCAGTTTCATTTCAGAAAGTGAAGGGTGATGAGTGTTTGTGTTTTTCAGCCAGAGCATCAGACCGAGGACCTTCTGGCTCTGACAGAGTCCTGGTTCCACCATTTGTCCAGAGAGCCCATGGACATGATCCGTAACATTAGTACTCAGCCGTTCCCTGAGCTGCACTGCGGGGCTCTGGCGATATTTAATGTAAGCGCTGAGATGAACATTTTTACTATTTTTATTTCTTTTATTTTACTTATGTGCAATTTACTTTATGGATTGTTTTTCAAGGCGATCGGGGCTCAGCCATGGGGTCAGAGGTTGATGATGAGTACCCCTGGTTTCATGGAGTTCATTTTGGATCGTTCCACTGGTCACACCAAGGAGGCCAAAGATGCAAAGTTTGAGCTGGTGGGCTCACTTGTGTCCTCGTCTACAGCAGCAGATATACTGGGCAGCCAGAATTACATCCGCCTGAAATCGTACCTCATAGAAGGAGCTTACTACATTTCAGCTGTGGCCACCGTCAGCACAGAAGGAGCAGAGTGACACCAACTATCTCCCTTTCATTCAGTACACTTCTGTCATGGCTTTATTATTTAATGCTTAACTTATGGGTAACTCTTTACTGCCACAATTAACCTGTCCTCTGACAGGACAAAAAACAAATCCAAACATGACATAATGCGACCTACAGTAACTGAATCATTAATTAAATTAAGGATTTATGAAGAAACCTTTGTATAAAAAAATAGTTTTGTGTCAAAAATACCTTTGTTTGCTATTTTTTTTAAATAAAGATTTGCCTGACAAGATTTGTTTGATCATTTTTCTACTTCTAAAATATAATAGTATAACTTCAAATAACACCACTTGATTCATATGACTCACAATGTCAGTGTCTCTGAAAAACCAAATGGAGTAAAACTTTTCAAATGTGCAGCAAAGTTAATTATATGAAGTACTAAAAAGTACCTCTTAGGTTTGTGAGAATTTTTATGAATTATAATCTTTTACCAAATCAAACCATATATTTACCACCTGAGCATTATATTTGCTGTGAAACAAACTGATAACACCACATAATTATATTTAAATGTATTTAACACACAGTATGCATCTACCATTTGCTACCAGACCTTTAGCATTGCTGAAGATAATAAAATGCTAGTATCGTTAACTTTAGAAGTGATCAGTGCTTTGTTTTTTGCTATATAATTTTTTTTCTGTATAAATTTCGGTTTGTTTTTTGCTATATATTTTTTTCCTGTATAAATTTCGTGAAATAAAAAGAAAAGAAAAGAAATGAGCCACACACTGAGTTGTTCTACTTACCTCACAGAAAGAACATCCCCGGTTTGTTGGTCTGGTTTTGGTCACAGAAAGAACATCCCCGGTTTGTTGATTTGATCCCTGGTCTTTCTGTATGAAGTTTGTATGTTGTCCCTATTGTCAAAGGTTTTCCATGGGAACTCTTACTTACGGTGGCCCTGTGGTGCAAACCAACATTACAAAATGTAAAGCACTTTAACAAGTTCCCCGCAACACTGTAACAAACCCCGAAAAAAGCGGAAAGGGAACTTACCAACTCTGAGGTGGAACCACCACTGAAACGTAGACCGGCCAATCCGTATTTGTTGTCGTTGTCTATAACCGAACCGCCGTACCTGTCGTATTTGCAGAACTGGGCGCGAACTGACCGCCATCTTGGGCGGCGGTAGACGGCAACTCTAACTGGACAAACTTTAGTTGAGCAACACTGCCCGATCTGCAGTACGAAAAATCGCTATAAATAACCGCTATCGCCGTGAACATCGCGGCTGTTATCAAGGCAGCTGATAAATCTTTTAAATCAGGAAATCAATTTGTAATACATCACTTTCATAATCCGTGTTAAGTTTATCATACCTTTCCTGTTGTATCAGAATTTGTTAAAGCTCACCTCAGGGCCACTGTATTTATTTCCTGTCTTTAAAATTGCAGGGTTAGTTTAATTGATAACTTCATATTGACCATGGCTATAAGTGTGAGTGTAAATGATTATTTTTGTCTTTATATGTGATCCTTGAAAGAACTTAAGAACTGAACACAACCCTGACAAGATTACTGGGGGTGACATCTGGATCTTAAATCTTGAATGTTTTGTGAATAATAAAGCAGAGATCACCAGAATGGAAGCACCAACTTCTTCTTCTCCAACTTCTAACCCTTTTCTTTCACGATTTGGATTTGGAAATGAAACCAACTTCTTCTTCTCCAACTTCTAACACTTTTCTTTCACGATTTAAAAAATGAGAACGATGTGCTGTAACCACTGACAGTTCGGTCTGTCATCTTAAACAACACTGACATTCTTTATGTGTTTTGAGCAATCAGCAAGTGTGTTGTATTTATAGTCACATACACATTGATCTTCCCACAGAACCCCCTCCGCTCCCTCCCCCGCTCCCCCTCTACCCATCTACCCCTCTTCACTTAGAACATTTGTACTTACACAGGGATAATCTAAGCAGCTGTGACTTTTCTGCAGACGTCCTGCTTCAGCTGTAACTGTTCATTGAGTTCATGTCATCTCCCGCTCTGTGAATCATAGCGCCCCCTCCCACGGTTCCGCTGTGCTTCAGTTTGCGTCATCAAATGAAAAGAAATGAATGATTGCAGACAAATAAAAAATCCAGTGACTCAATCTTTTTTTTCTTCACTTTTTTATTTACCTATTTATGTTTTTATCTCCCTTCTCCTGTCTTTTGTCATTTCCACCACCATGCTCAGGGTGAAGACCCTTCTTCTGAAGGACTTACCTCAGATAGAAGAACATCTTAAACTGATGAATCTTCTGTGTTGCTGCTTTTTCTTGCCTTTGGGTCCACGGAGACTTGGTGATCAGTTTTGTGGTTGGCATCATTACATCTACAATGTTAAGGTGTTAAACACTCCTATGGAATTGAACTTTGAATTTGTGTTTTGACACAGACGTGTTTTTCTTGTCCACTCGTTCAAATGTGTCTCCTCTGTCATCAGAAGTTTGTAGTTTTTCTTCTTCTAACATAGCTTGTCCTGAACTGAACTGACTGCCTTGTCCTACTGTATGGTGTAGTCCACCAGAACCAGTGCTGTGGTCACACCAAGTCCAGACATGACACGGGTTCCTGCTCCAGTCAGCAGTGCTTCTGTTCTACTGTCCACTAACTTGGACTTCAGATCAAATTAAAGAGACTCAAAGAGACACTTTATTTAGTGACTATGACTCCAATGAACCCTTAAACCCTGGAATAAATCCATTAACTTAGGCTGTAACTATAACGAAGACATGGGATTTTCAGTTGTCATTTTGCCTTGGTTGAACTGTGTTTAGTTTTTTATTTTCAAAAACAACTCTTAAAACCACCAACAGATGGAGCCAGTCTTCCCTCCTCTGTCATCAAGTGAAGTTGGTGACAATTTACACAGTTGTGTTCCGAGGTATGTAGTCGGTGTACAGCCAACATTTTGCAGAGAAAACTGTCATCTCCTCATGACTGCAGCCCACGGTCCTGCAGCGATACTTCAACCAGAGTTTTACAGACACTTGTCTTTTCTTGACACTTCACCCTCACCCTCCTGAACTCACCCAGCCGCCCACACTCACTCATGATGCACCTGTTTAGGTGAAAGGCACTGGAAAGAGTCGGCAAAGCTGTCGGAAACAACACGAGCTCATCTTCCTCCTCCGATGCAATTAATGCAGGAAGGAGCGAGCGTCAGGGGGGACTCCGCAGAGCCGCACACCGAGCACAGCGCAGGATCTCTGGACAACATGTGCAGCGAGTGTTACGTCAATCAGTCTTTCGTGAACGACGACGGCACCGTGATCGACCACAAACCAGGGTAAGAGGTGAGCAGGTGGAGGTGAACTCCAGGCTGCAGATGTGGATGGTGATGATAATGGTGGTGGTGATGAAGATGATGATGATGAGTGTTTGATTTCAACATTATTTTTGACTCACGGAAGATGGATCTAAACTGTTTCCTACGTGCATGTTGATCCGTGCTCGTGTGTTCAGTTGTTCAGTTGTGATGTTTTATAGCTGTGTTATTATCTACTCGGTCATGGCTGTAATATAATAACGCTGCACAAAGTAATAACCATCTCCATCAGAAGGCTAATTCTAATGGATGAACTATAAAAGCAGAACAATGTTCTGTACACATCTGTGTTAGGGTCCCTAATGTGAAAGATTATAAAAACATTTTTTTAAATAATAACAATTTTTGTTAAAATGTACATTATTCAACAGGATATTCCAAACACTGGGTTGGGATCCAAAGATGGGTCATGGGGTGTATACCTTGGTCACCAAGTCAGTTTAAAGTGGGTTTTTGGTTGTTTTTTTTTTTTTGGCATTTTAGGCATGATTTAAATGCAAATTTTAAGATAACAGCTATTAAAAAAGATACTCATTTAGCATATTTTGGAAATAGCTGTGGCTGCACAGTGTAATGTTTCAGTTTGCATGGTCTCTGTTGTGTACATGTGTTTTCTAAGGTATTTTGGTTTCCACACATTCCTCCAAAAAATATGTGATTGTGTTGGTTTGTCTGTTTGTCTGTTTGTCTGTTTGTCTGTTTGTCTGTTTGTCTGTTTGTCTGTCTCAACTGCACATTGGACTCTGAATAGAAACAAGAGATGTGGGGGGTAGAGGGGTGGAGGATTGGGAGGATGGGGCATGACATTGTGGGTCAACCAGGCCCCTGGCTTGGACTCAGGTCACTCCTTTATTATGACATGTAATAAGTAGTTTTTTCAAATATTGTTGTATTTGACAATAGTGAGAGATTCCTGTCAAGGTGTGTTTATTTTCTGCACACATTTATAATTGAGTCATCGTTATCTTAAAAAATGTCTTTTTTTATTATATTATTTTTAATGATTTTTAATAAATTAAAAATAAATACAATTTTAAAGATGACTTTACTAAAGTCCTCCACATTCATTTAAAAAATCAAATTTGTATTAGTTTATGTGTATTATTTTTTATCAGACATCACATGCACATTATTTGAACAATTTGACGAAAAGTAATACGTTTTACAGACTTAAAGAATAATTACAACAAACACAGAGAGCGGTTTGGAGAAAATAGATTTACGATGGAGGGAATATGATGAAGAGATCATTTTATCTGCCTCATGATTCAGAAACGCAGCTTACTTTTCCAATTTGTTACAAAAAGCGCTTAATACCTTTCACAGGCATGAAGCATCAATACGTATCTCAAAACAAAATGATGGCAAACATTTCTTCATCTCTCCAGGGTCAGAGTGCACCTCTCACTGTGTCATTCCTTTTGGCATGTTACTGCGACTGTTGGAAAGTGACTGGATAATAAGTAGAGACCTGACAAAGTGACTCAAAATCCGTAGGCATGTGCTGTTAAAAAGTGACGGCAGAGACTTTATTCCTGGTGTTGTTAATCAGATGGTGTAGTCTGATGTTATTACTGCACTTATTAGGATCAGTAATTGAGACGGTTTGGTTTTTGATCCTCCTCAAAATGTAATAAAAGATTATAAACAGTAAAAACACTTACTTTCTGCTACAGAAAATAAAAAACACCACTTTGTAAATGTTAAAATGTCATTATTTTTTATTATTTTTTATTTTTTTATAAAACTCAGACAGGTTTAGTTCCAACCCAAAGAGTAAATCTGAGTTTAAGATGGGTATTTTTTTTCTCACAAATGTCGGACATTGTTTGTTATATATTTATGAGCGACTGCTACAGCTGCTGTTGGACGGTCGTCTCCATCAGTCGTCAGCCTGGCTGCTTTTGATGGTTTAACTTTAATGTAAATAGTTTATCTTAAATATATTCATTTTGCAAAAAAAAAAAAAAATTAAATAGTTAATAAATGAATTGATGGATGGATGGATGGATGGATGGATGGATGTCTTGTGTCAGACTCACTCCACTGACTTCTTCTAATAGTCAGATTAAAACTCAACCAAGTGAAATGAAAGACTTGTTTCTTCTGTTTTTCGCTCTTACATCCTTGAAACTCAAAGTCATTTTAAAAAAATCTGTTTTGTGAAGCTGTCAAATTTCTGTTATGTAATTACTGTATATGTTTGAAAGGCGCTTGGTTCAAAGTCAGCGTCAGCCTGAGGCTGCGTTTATAAACTTCACTTTGTCTCAGTCTGTGTTTGACTCCAGGCTCATGTTTGAATGTGTCATATCAAACTGTAAACAGACAAAGAGTTTGATAGCGAGAGCTCCCTGTGAGACCCATTCTCTTCAATATTCGTGACTCTTTTCTTTTTTTTTTATATGCCTGTCTGTGTCTCTGCCTCACTCCACCTTCTGTATTACACCACTCTTCTCCTTCCCCTGCTCTGTCCTCCTCACTTCTCTGCTGCCTGTTTGTTTTGCCACCGTCCGTTCTTTTTTGGCCCTGCAGCTTTTTTGTCACTTTTGCTCCTTTCACCTTTTACTTTCTGCCCACTACTTTACTTTTCTCCTCTCCCCCCTGTAGCTCTTCTACAGCACCACCACCACAGTCCACCAGCTGCAGCAGTGGGGTAATCTTGGACATCTCCACCCTCAAGATGGAGCAGGTGGAGAGTGAAGTGCCTCCTCTGCCGCCGCGTTTCCGTTTCCGAGACCTGCTGCTGGGAGACCAAAGCTTCCAGAATGATGACAGGTAAGTGCTGAGTAAACTCTTTTTTTTTTCAATCTGAAAGCAAACGGTTTAGGTGGTGATGTTTGAAACAGTCCAGGACAAAAACAGCCTGGACTTTGTGCCAGTTATTGTCCTTAACTCTCCAAACAAACTCATTTATTATTATTATTAAAAAGTCATTTATACTGTTCAACATCGTGGTGGTGTATTTTCCTTCTTGAAGGCATTGTCCTCTAACTATTCAAAACTACCTCAGTGTTGACAGAGAATTGAAAAAACTGGTGTCACGAGAGCTGTCCTTGGTGCTGAATGTGATATTGAAAGCCGTTTGGCTTTTCTGCTTTTGACGAGGGAATGGTGCATCTGATTGTGTCTGTGTTCTGAAATACGTAGTGTACAAAGACTAAAACGTTTATCTCGGAAAAGTTTGTAGTGAATGTCAACCATTTTTAACATTAAACATTAAACTCTCATTTGTGTTCACCACAGCAGTTCAATTTGTAATCCAACATGAGAAGAATAACAGAATAGTAATATTTTTGTTATGGTAAGCAACAATATGGTTTGGAGTATTTAACATTTTTTACTTGATGCCAACATATTAACAAAGAGGATCCAGTACTAGTTGAAGGAGATGGATCCTGGATCCTCATGTCCAGCATCAGTGAACTTCCAAATGTCACTGATCACAGCTTCACTGAAACAGACCATTCATCACTAGAAGACACGCAGGGAAAACGGACACACATGCATCTCCATACAATATCCACTAAATACTTTTCTAACCAATCCCTCGTCGTACACCTACAGTCTCACTCATTTAATCTTTAATCTAATTTTTTTTCTTCCTAATATTCTTGTATTTTACAGGGTTTCACCAAATCCGATCATCTGCCGTCATCTAACCTTTTTCTATTTCACCAGCTTTCTTCAATACGATGGTCTTCAACATCTTCTCTTCTACATGTTTATGTAAAAATGTCCATTTCCACTGGCCACAGTTGCTTTGTACATGGGTCTCAACAAGCGCAGGGAAAACCATGGCGGGAGGTGGAGATGGCTGTGGGCGCGAATGAGGGTTCAAGTGAATTTTACCTCAGCAGCTATTTTCAGAAGTCATATCGGAGGTCGTCTGTAAATTATTTCATGTGGCACTTCAAAATCCAGACAGAACAATGTGGTGGGAGGAAGAGGAAGGAAAGAGAGGTCTGCCTCACATTTTTCCATTTCACAGTCAAAGATAAAACGAGGGAGAAGTGCAGCACCACAAGCTGCCTTTCACTTTTATAATACTTCATACTCGTGACATGACGTGACAGATGTAAATGACTGCAAAAACAGTAGAAACTAAATCTTATTAGTGGACGTCGAGCCTATCTACAGACTGATTACAGCCAACGGTCAATCCAGGATTGTGACCAAGATATATATCATCTGAACTTGTCTTTGAACTCATTGAGAATCCTTCACCACTGGAGGCTTTTACTGTAGACACCGTTGAACTGATTTCACCCGATTCGTCTGATCTGGTCTGAGATGTAAACACTGAATGTTTACAGCTTCAGCCGGATCTGCAGCGCTGCTTCAGAGCAGATCATGCTGCTCCAGCACCAGTGAGGGTTATTCCTGTCATGGCAACGTTACTGTGGCAACAGGCCATGGAGAGGGAGAGAAAGAGAGAGAGAGAGAGGAGGAAAGAGAGAGAGAGAGAAATATAATCCCCCAAAAAATAGAACTGAACGTTCTAATCACAGTGATTGTCATAAACACACAAGTCACACAAAACTTTTTTTTTAAAATCAAATTCTTTAAAAAACCATCCTGGTACTTATTTTTATCCAAAGCTTATTTGGACATACAGAACATAATTCCAGATATTGTGCAGCGTGAAGACACATTGTTGAAGAAGCTTTGTGAGAAGATAAGTGCAGCAGCAGCAGGTGTCGCCCACCATGGATCTAAACATCATCCAAACCTGGAGCAGTTCCTCTGTGCGCACCTGGAGGTCCGAGGCTTTGGGCGGTGATGTCGGACAGAGGTAGGATGGAGAGTGAGGGCTTGGTCTCATGAGTGGGTGTGACGTTCTGATGTCAGTGTAGGAGCTGGATGTGTTATGGTATGTGAACAGTGTCCGTAGAGAAAGATTTGGCTGCGATCGCATCTGGAAACTGACGACCAACAGATGGTTTATCAGAACATGTTGATTTTTTTTTAGGTGGAAAACAGTTTGTTGTTGTTTCTTTGTTTGGCAAGTTGATGTTTCTATTGAGGCTTCCATTCTGCAGATTTGTATTTGTTGAAATATAAAGTTAGACACTAATGACTGATTACATTAAGTTCTGGTAAAGGGATCCTCCCTATGAAAAATACCCATGTTGTCACCTGCGGATTCTATGAAAAATACCCATGTTGTCACCTGTGGATTAGGACGAGTATTTTATTTTATTTTTTTTTTTTTGGTCAAAATGTATTTTTTTTTATGTAACCAGCAGTACAGAGGATCAAATATTCACAATATCTGCAATTCAGTGCATATAATTTAAATATTTATTTTTTTGTATTAAAGTATCATCAAGCTGTACAATCTCAGCCATTTTATGTATGGATGCTTCAGCTCCAGCAGGGTTTGGCTGTGATCTCAGGCAGCTGGTAAAACAGCAAAAATAAATAAATAAATAAACTTGAATAATCATGATTAATCCACAGCTATCCTGTGATTAATCCCATTAAAACTGTAACTGATTTGCAGCCTTAATTGTCTGTAAATCATATGCATGTTTGTTTGGGAAATTTCCAGTGAATATATCTATTTTTGAATATTTTTGTTAATCAATCTGACATCATAAAAACACATCCTGCTGCTCAGAGGATCATGATTCGATCATGTTTGTTTACTTGATCAAAGTTGAGCCCATCAACTCTGTCCTACTTTGTTTCCCTTCAACTATGTGATTTAAACAGTTCCATTAACATTCGTTTGTCCCACAAATAAATTAAATCCTTTGTCGAGGAGGTCATTGGTCCTCAGGTGATCAATAAAGTCATTTCTGATTCTGGAGACGGAAATGTATGAACCTCGCAGTAAAAACCCAGAATTAGCCGAACGTGTCGCCTAAAAAAACCAACAATTTGATTTCATTTCTCTGTCGATCCCTCACCTCTATGAACAGCGACTCATGCTGATTGGAAAAAATGGAAAAATCTGGGACTCTGGGAATCTGGGACTCATTTTCGTTTACAGTGACACGGATGAACGATGAGAGGCCTGCAGGTGGAGAACTGATCGGTGCGACTCGGTTGTTTGCCTTCACTGAACTCGATCGGCTGTAATTTGTCTTTATATAAGTCTGACATTCCCAGAGCTGTGTGTCTGATCGCCTGGAGCTCAACTCTGACTCTGCAGAATATGACTAATGTCAGAGCACCGCGGCTAATCACTGTGAGCTCAACAGGATCTCATTAAGTGTCATTAGTTTGTGCCATTGTGTGTGGGATCTCATTAAGTGTCATTAGTTTGTGTCGTTGTGTGTGGGTGGACAGACAGACTGACAGACAGACAGACAGACAGACTGACAGACAGACAGACAGAGTGCCGACTGTGACACTCGTGCTGTGTATGACGACGTCCTCTCCACTGGAGTGTGTTCTCCTCCACAGCTCAGCTCTGCCCTGTTGACGGACAGATGTGACAACCGTTTGTCACATGTCCTCGCGGTGGAGTTTGTTTCTGACTGTGCTCTAAAATGGTTTCTCTTTCCATTACCTCTGCGCAGATGTAGAGTGGTTGATACAGAGCACGACTAAACCTGACTTTGCAGCCCACACTACCTTTTACTTCCCACTGTGAACCCTTTCAGTCAAGAGAACGCACCAGAGTCTGGGATTTACTGCTGCAGAATCAGGAGCCCACAGACATGACTCCAACTCTTCTAATCCCTCCTTTTCCCTTTTCCTCTGGGTTTTTCATTTTCTCTGCCTGCACTTAAATCCTACACAGAATGAACATTGTACTTTTGATGTCAGAGAATTGGTAAATCAGTCTGACGAGATCGTCAGGTCCAGCCAGCGTTGATTAATCCAAAGTAAAATGCTCATCTGTGCCACGACAGCTCTTTGGCTCCTGGGGTTTGATTTTCCTGGTTTACCGTGATGCCGTCTTGTAATTGGGAGAAAACTGAAGATGGATAATTAGCCTTCTTCCCAGTGTGTGCTGATGATTAGAAAAACACCATGATTATGAATTAGCGTGAAGTGTTATGGTAGTAATTCTTCATGAACTTGTCCTACTCGGGCTGTGTGGAATATCATTTCCTTCTCTTCTCTGACAGGGTGCAGGTCGAGTTCTACGTGAATGAAAACACCTTCAAGGAGCGTCTGAAGCTGTTCTTCATCAAAAACCAAAGATCCAGTAAGTGAATTGTCCTGAGAGAACCACACGTTCTACCGTCTCCATTGGTGTCAGTGAAGAGGCCCACTACACTGGCTGTTTCTACAGAGTGGCTTCGACATTGACTCAAATATGTAGCGATAAAAATAAAAAAACAGTCAAAGATGTGGACTATCTTTTTGACCCGCCCCTCGTATTTGATTCCCTGATAAGATGTGGACTATCTTTTTGACCCGCCGCTCGTATTTGATTCCCTGATGTTTGAATCAGTTATGTGACAAACTGAAGTCTCTCTCGTCACGCTGTAGGTCTAAGGATTCGAGTGTTCAACTTCTCCCTGAAGCTGCTCACCTGTCTGCTGTACATCATCAGAGTGATGACGGACAACCCCGACCAGAGCAGCAGCTCCAGCCACAGTGTGGGTCAACAGAACAATCCCAGCGGCAACAGCAAATGGTTTGTTTACGTTGACTTCGTCCTGTCAGCACTGGGTAATAATACAAACACACAGTGTTAATGAAACCAGAACGGAGTCGCAGCAGTGACCGAGTGATAGTTTCTTCATAAAAGATTAAAGATACTGGACAAACACCGAGACTCTAATCTAACAGACCTAACATTGGATTAAAAATGAATCTCTCTGAGAACGCAGCTCATGAATTGTTCTCTTGTTACAGTGTTGACTGCCAGTGGAATGGATCAGAGCAGGACAGAGAAATCAACTGGTAAGATGTCAGTTTAATAAAGGAGCTCAGATTCCCATGTTGATATTTAACATTATTTCCATTATTTCTTATCATTATTTTTTTTTTTACAGTGAGAAAACATATTTGAATTTCACCATTTCACCCATGCAGTAAACATCAGTACCGACCCTGAACAATAGACTTCTATTTAAAACAACCACGTGCATGTGAAGATCTGAGCCACAAAAAATAAAGTGGCGAGCTGGATTTGGCCCCGCGGGCCATGAGTTTGACATGTGTTCTAATATCTGCCCTGCTCCAGACTGATCCAATGTCAGGTCTGATTTAAAGCCACTGTCGCCCCTCAACTGAACTTCACCCCTAATGTAAATGTGTCTTATTTATTATAAGACACATTTAATATATAATATATTAATATATAACTGATTTAAAACAAGTGTTAAATCAGTCAAAAATAATAAATAATAAATATTTTCCCCGTCAAGGCACATGTGTCTCAGACAGAGTATCAAAAAATATTTTTCGGATCCAGACCATATGTGACGACCTTCCCTCTCTTTGGTTGTGTGTCACAGGGAGCTGATCTTCTGGGTGGACAGAAAAGCTCCGGTGTGGGCCATTCAAGTGAGTCACCTCAGAACACACGGGTGCTTCAGATCAAAAAAGATTAAAAAAAATGTCAGATTTGAATCTTTTTCTATTTTATTTATTTATTTATTTTACAGGTGATCGTGGCCATCATTAGTTTTCTGGAGACAATGTTACTGATGTATCTGAGCTACAAGGTGCCGCACACACACACACACACACACACACACACCATGTGTCGGTGATGGACGTTGTTATAAGTGGTGTAATTACCCACCGTCACATTTCGGGGCTGCGTTAAGAACAGACTGTAGTTTGTAGTAATTACAGGATCTGGTTGAGGTGAAGCTTTAAGTGATCGTCAAACAAAAGCCACAGAGAACGAGGATGTGACTCCACTGTGCACTGACTCACTGTCTACTCGACGTAACAAATGTCTTTCTCATTTTCAGGGGAACATTTGGGAACAGATTTTCCAGGTGTCGTTTCTTCTGGAGATGATCAATACAGTTCCCTTCATCATTACAGTAATTACTGCTACACTTGTAGAGCTTCAAACCTGTGTGTGTGTGTGTGTGTGTGTGTGTGTGTGTGTCATTTGACTTTGAGCACAGAAGCATGCAGACATTTTCATGGAGCTCAAATTACAGGCTCAGAAACTAGAATGTTCCGTTCAACCTTCTCTGTTCAACATAAAAACATCAATTTCAGACGTTTCTTCAAAAAGAAAAATACAGCAACAACGTGAAGTCACAATGTGGTTGTCAACGTAGAAAGAAATGGATGACGTTTGTATGCAGTACCTTTGTACGTACGTTGAAGTATTCTCCTCTCTCCTTAGATTTTTTGGCCTTCCATCAGGAACATTTTCATTCCCGTGTTTCTTAACTGCTGGCTGGCCAAGTGTGCCCTGGAGAACATGATTGTGAGTGAAAATAAAGACATTTTCATCATTTGACCATCAAATAAATACACAACAAAAACACTGAAGTTTTAAGAACTGTAGTAATACTACAGGTATATAAAGAAGTAAAAAAAAACTTCAGTATTTCGTATGACACACTCTTCTACTGTCACACACACTGACCTGAAGTCAACATTGTTGGAACTACCTCAAGTTTTTACATATTGGGTTTAGAGGACAAGTGTGTGGTCCGAGGGACTGATGGGTATATTCCCAGTCGTTTTAATTGTAATATAGTTACCCAGGGTGAGGGATGTAGGCAGGAAACATGACGTTGTCAAAACACTTTTTGAACTGGAGACTAGATGATTCAAAATCATGAGGAAGTTTCAGGCGTGATGTATGACAGAAGGATATGACAGTCAGATTGACAGCAGTGAAGTCTGCTGAGCTAATGTTGTGTGAAAAATGATGCTGGAAATCAGAAGCTGAGCAGCTCAGAGGAACAGCCACGTGTACGACCTGACTGTGAGCTGCCTGTACGTATGTGCTGACGGTGAATATTTTGTTGTTTGTAGAACGATGTCCACAGAGCCATCCAGAGGACCAACTCAGCCATGTTCAACCAGGTCCTCATTCTCATCTGCACCTTACTCTGCCTCGTCTTCACTGGGTGAGGAACAGCTCAGGGCTGACACCTCACTGTCTGACTGATCATGGATGTAATACACTTCAAATCAAACTACACTGTCTGACTGATCATGGATGTAATATACTTCAAATCAAACTACATTTTTACGACCACCCTGCGGTACCTTTGAACACGCACCTCTGATTTAACCTTTATTCAGGTTTATCAGGTTGGTCCCATTGAGATCGCGATCTTTTCCGCAGATATCTGGCAAATACTTTTTTTGTGTGTACTTTTCTTTATATATTTGATCTCTTAACCACCTCACGCATTAGTATTCCTCCCGACATCTCGTCAAAGTATAGAGTCTGCTGTTATTTTAGACGTTGGCTTTGACTTTGACAAAAGCCTTAACATTCTATTAATTTAGTCTGAGTGGAGCAGTTCTTTTATGAAGTCATGACAAATCAAACCTTTGAACAAAGCAAACTGGAATGAGTCATGTTTTAAACTCATTCTCAGAATTACCTTAAATGACAAGTTCTTTAATGCATCACCATGAAAATAAGACATTTTATCACTCACTTGTTCTAATTGACCATTTTAAACCTTCATTTCAGTGCACAGTGGTCCCTCGCTGTATCGCGGTTCGGCTCTCACGCCTTCAGTGCATCTCATGTTTTTAATATTTTAAATGTATTCTTGTATTGCGAATTTTTTGCGGTATATAAAAAAAAATATGAGAAAATAAGCATTTACTAGCCTAAGAAGAAAAAAAAAACAATAAGAAAATGCATTAGTAACACATACAGGGTATTGCAAGAAATATCCTGTACGTAAACGAGATTTGTGAAAGTTTAGTTACGTTTTTTGTTTTTTGTTGTTGTTTTGGGGTTTTTTTGCCATATGTCATGTACTACGACATACGTGTCAAACTCAAGGCCCGGGGGCCAAATGTGGCCCGCCAAGCCGTTTTGTGTGGCCCGTGGGAGCTTAAAAACCTTCATGCAGCAGAGTTTCTTGACCTAATTTTTACTTTAATTAGTAAAAATTAAGAACATATTTTCATTGTGTACCACTGCGGCCCAGTACCAAATGATCCCTGGACCGGTACTGGTCCGTGGACCGGGGGTTGGGGACCCCTGGTCTATACAGTCTTCCAGTTAGAACCGGCCCTTCAAGGGGAACTGTGTTGCTGATGTGGCCCCCTGGTGGTAATGAGTTTGACACCCCTGTCCTACGACGTCCTCCTAAAGGATTCGCAAAGGGTTAATATATAACGAAATAATATAATAACTATCACGTCTCTGCTTCGCGGTTTTCGCCTATCGGTCTTTCGCGGGTGGTCTTTCGCGCGGTTTTCGCCTATCGGTCTTTCGCGGGCGATCTTTTGCCGGCGGTCTTTCGCGGGCGGTCTTGGAACGTAACCCCCGTAATAGCGACCACCGTAATTTAAAAAGAAAAGATAGACTTCCAGGTGTGTCCTACATCTATTCATTGTTTTTTATGAACACAGCACATGTGGAATCCAACATCTGGAACGAGCGGGAAAGAACCTCACTCTCTTCAATTCCTTCTACTTTTGCATCGTCACCTTCTCCACCGTGGGCTTCGGAGACGTGACTCCTCGCATATGGCCGTCCCAGCTGCTCGTAGTCATCATGATCTGCGTAGCTCTCGTGGTGCTCCCTCTGCAGGTGAGAGAACACCTTCGGGTTAAGACTCCCTCGGTGTGATTCTGTGGCTCTGAGTGTTTCCTGTGTCAGTTTGAGGAGCTGATCTACCTGTGGATGGAGAGACAGAAGTCTGGAGGGAATTACAGTCGCCACAGAGCGCAGACGGAGAAACACATCGTACTGTGTGTGAGCGCGCTCAAAATAGACCTGCTCATGGACTTTCTCAATGAGTTCTACGCACATCCTAGACTGCAGGTACCAGACATGTCACAACACCTCCGTGCATCATAGAAACAGTCTTTTATATAACTCTGTGGCTGCTGTCATATTTTTAAGGATTACTACGTGGTGATCCTGTGTCCAAGTGAAATGGACCTTCAGGTGCGGAGAGTTCTGCAGATCCCGCTGTGGTCACAGAGGGTCATCTATCTCCAAGGATCGGTTCTCAAGGACCAGGATCTGCTGAGAGCCAAGTGAGTAACATCGTTTTAACCCAGGACCTCAGAGCAAAGTAGTCAAATTTAGATAAAAAAAGTAAATATATATATATATATAATCATTAAGTGTATAGACGCACAATAATAGGATTTCAATTCCCAAATTTGGGACAGAAAAAGCAGAAAAGAAATAGTTGAACAACTTCCAAATATTTCAGCTAACTTTTCTATTTGTGCCAACTTGGATTTTAATTAAAGTCACGACAGACGATGCTAACCCCCCTGTGGTGGAGTTCTCATTTTGTACCATATTAAATTTTTGATAAGACCATTACACTGCTCTGTTTTGTGCCTTCCACTTGTCTCTGTAAACATCAACATCGGATAATTTAATTTAGACACCAAGCAATTTTAATTTGAAATCATCTCCTCTGAAAAACACCTTACAATATGGACACAAACTAGCAGGTAAACTTCAAGTCCGAGATTTTGGTGGGCGTTCCACCGGGACAAGGCCTGACGGAGGGTTTTAGAAGCAGCAAGTTGGTCAAAGACGCAAAAGCCAAGGGATCAGTCATGGTCAAAACACAGGACGGCCGTAGATACACAGCTGAGAAACAAGATCATGTGGCTCAAAAAACAGGCCAGAGAAACGGCTGGATCAAAACTAAGCAAAGTGTATGAACTGTCAGTTGGTCACTCCATAACAAATTAATAAATGTTTCTTCTCTTTTAATTTATGAGGTTAAGAAACTCAACTTTATTAAATGTTTTTCAAGCTCTGCGGGCCGTGTAAAATGACTTGGCGGGCCACATTTGGCCCGGGGGCCTCGAGTTTGACACGTGACTTAAATTAAGGAGAACCAAAGACATCCCTTAGCCTGGAAGCTGGGCGTCACTCACTAATATCACAGCATGAAACTTTAAACTTTTGCTTAGTTAACATCCCAGAATATGACTTATTGAGTTTGTGTTTGCTGCAGATGCCAGATTTCTAAATCAGTTCACAAATGAAAAGCAGTTAAAAAAAAGGTTTGCCTGATAAATTATAGAAGATAAAACTGAATTACCAAACTACAACTTTTAATTTTTGTGCCATTTCATTTTAGTTCAACTTCTGAACTGTTTATGCTTTACATAAAAATGACATCATTAGTCTGTGGAATTGGTTCATTTTGACATGTTCTGAGCATTGATTGATTGGAAAAACTTCACTTGTATAACTTTGGTGAACATGAGTTATGTAACCTGCCGTGAGTGCTCGGGGTAATTAGAGGTAGACGCCGGTCTTTTGTCAGTGCGGATCTGAACCCATTTCAAATCCTCCTACACCTGCTTTGCATTTTCAACTAATCCTCTGCAGAAACAGGTTTTTAGTCACAGCATATAGTGTGTACTCTCCTGGGCAGTAATGCATTATTCAGGAACACTGTTGCTAGCAAGGTGATAACAGTGTGTAAGAAAAATAAAATATTCCTAAAGTAGGTGGAGAGTGGAGCAAGAAGGTCAGTGGTTTGTGTCCTGTGTCTGGGAAAACTGCCTCACAGCATGGGTTCTCACTCTACCCTGCAGGATGGACGATGCAGAGGCTTGCTTTATTCTGAGCAGTCGCAATGAGGGGGATCGAACCGCTGCGGTAAGAAGTCGATAACTGGTTCATTAAAGATGTTTGTTTTTATCTGTAAATGATTAAGATTTAATATTGAATCTCTGTCTGTTCCATAAAGGACCACCAGACCATCCTGAGAGCCTGGGCCGTCAAGGACTTTGCTCCAAACTGTCCACTTTACGTTCAAATACTCAAACCTGAAAATAAGTTTCATGTGAAATTTGCAGGTGAGATTTTCAACGTCATTTAGATCAATTTGAAGTTGTCCAAACAGGAGAAATATGTCATTTTTAACACATACATTCATACACCCATTGTTGCTCTAATACACGTGCTGGTATTTGCACACCCTGTGGGGAGACGCTGCATTTCAACATTTTATTGGTTTGAATTGAGTCACCAATAAAAACACAAAACTGATGCTGATATTTTGTCTTTCTGTTCCACTGATTTACAGAGAAACATATTGGAAACATTGACTGAAATTAGTTAGTATCAATGGTGATAAATCACTGTCATTTAGCAGATTTGTTTAATCTTTTGACAGCCCTAAAATTATTATACGGCTTAGTTAGGCATCAAGCATTCTTTTTTTCTAATGCTGACTTTTACTCCATGTAAATGTACTTAAAAAGATTTAAGAATTGACTTTACTGAATAGCTGTTTCCTCTTTTTTTTTTTCTTTCAGATCATGTTGTGTGTGAGGAGGAGTTCAAATACGCCATGTTGGCTCTGAACTGCGTGTGTCCCGCCACCTCCACCTTGGTCACTCTGCTCGTCCACACCTCCCGTGGACGGTCAGTCACCAGGTTTAGACGAGGCTTCAGAAAAGTTCACCTTTTGCACATGTGGAACAATGATGTTTAATAAAAACACCCGGTCGTTGGTTTGGGTTCAGTGTCAACGGCCTCACAGCAGTGAATCAGATCAATTAAGAAAGAGCTGAATCTCATCGTCGAAGTCAGCAGGACGTACAGAGAGAGAGAGAGGGAGAGAGAGAGAGAGAGAGAGCATTGAACCAAAACATAGAACAGATGGAGCTGAATTGATTTTTCTTGCCTGTTAAACTCTTTTTTTTTTTCTTTTATTGTGGGAAATGATTTCTCCCAGCATGCAAAAGGGCGGCTTTTAAAGGCTAGGTGGTTTTTGACTATTTACTAAAGAAACTGCAAAGTATACAGTACTGTATACACCTAGAGTATGTCACTAAGATGTATAAAAAGTATATTGATAATACATACATCCATTTTCAACCAGTTATCCGTTACCGGGTCGCGGGGGCAGCAGTCTCCACCCAAATCACACTGCACCGTACCAACCCCCCCCCTAAAACTTCCTGCGGGTGGTGAGTCCACTGGAAGGTACCAACCGCCCTAACCGGGATTTGAACTTGCCCAGGAGGTGAACCCTGGGGTTTCACACCAATGACAGAGACATTGACCTCTGGGCCAAAGCGCCACATTGATAATACAGAGAACAACAAAAAATAATGTCTGCGAGTTGACATTCCATCATGTTGATTTAAAATAATGTCTGCGAGTTGACATTCCACCACGTTGATTTTTACCAGAGGTGTAAAAGCCTGTGGCCTCTTTAAGCCTAATTAATTCAGAGTGGTTGACTAATTACTTTAATTACCAGCAGTCATTAAAAGGCCACATTAGAGTCAAGCCGACTGACACATGCATGAAGCCATCTGCTCTCGTCGGCCGAACCACAAACACTCCTGTGAGTTGGTTCTCCAGTTAATGACACAGAAAAACAGGACGACAAATAAGAAGGAACACGTTGAGGCTTTTTGACAAGTGTCTCTCGTTCCCCCCCCCCGTGTGTTTCCTGCAGAGAAGGACAGCAGTCTCCGGAGCAGTGGCAGAGGATGTACGGATGTTGCTCCGGCAACGAGGTCTATCACATCCGACTGTGTGACAGCAAGTTCTTTGGGGAGTATAATGGCAAGAGCTTCACGTACGCCTCCTTTCACGCTCACAAGAAGTGAGTTGACAAGTTCATTATTCACACGCCGTGTGTTCCATGTAGTGGAGTACGACGGTATTTTCTCCTTTTTAACTTGAACTGATCATTTTCATGTAAGTACGACGGTATTTTCTCCTTTTTAACTCTAAACATATACATTGATGAAACATTTATTCACATCACATACACCTATGGTATCATGTTGTATCATGTACTTGAACCAAATAACTCTAAACATATAAATTGATGAAACATTTATCATGTTGTTGTAGTATCATGTACTCTATGTGTATACACAAATACTTGATCTTGGACCAGACAGAAAATCTTCTGAAATATCTGATACCTTAAACTAGTGGTTCCAAAGGTAGGGGGCGCACTCCTCAGTGGGGGTTTGAAGGATTTGAAATTCCAACGGAATATGACACGCTGGACATACGTGTACCACTGCTGTAATGCTTGAATGATAACAAGTAACTCCAGCCACTAGGTGGCAGCAACTTGGTTTCTAGAGATTTTCAAAAGTACGGTATTTAAATTCGAGGGGATTGTGGGTCGGGTGGGTGCACGGCGTGAAAACATTTTTGTCCTCAAGGGGGGGGTATGACAGAGAATAATTGAGAATGACTGGGCTAGAGTGACGTAGCATCTCGTCAGGCTTAAATCTAACTCCGAGCGTCTGCTCTGCAGGTATGGAGTTTGTCTGATTGGTATAAAGAGGGAGGAAAACAAGAACATCCTCCTGAACCCTGGTCCTCGCCACATCATGGCCGCCACGGACACATGCTACTACATCAACATCACCAAGGAAGAGAACTCCGCCTTCATCTTTAACCAGGAGGAGAGGAAGGGTCGTCCAGCAGGGGGACTCTACGACGGACCCTCACAGCTTCCTGTACACAGCATCATCGCCAGCATGGGTGAGAGACGGAGAGAGAGGGGGAGGGAGAGAGAGTGTGGTCAAAATTCCTCCTTTTTTTGTTTACGTGTGAATATGAACTTCTGGTTCTGGTCCATGAAGGTCAAGTTGACGTGTTTTACAGGGACTGTCGCCATGGACCTCCAGAACACCAGCCCGCCCGAGGACTCGGGGGGTAAACTGGTGCCCCCTACAGTCAATGGGACAGGGAGCCGTCGGCCCAGCATCGCTCCTGTCCAGGAGCTGGCAGACTCCTCCTCTATCCTGCCATGTGACCTCCTCAGTGACCAGTCAGAAGACGACTCGGTCTTCACGGATGAGAAGGATTCCTCATGTCTTGAGTAAGAATTCTGTTTTCATGAACTTCCGTGTGAATTAATAAACAGCCGACGTGGAACTTAATGCAAGTTACGCAAAAGAACAATGAAAACAAGATCAAATGTGGACAATATTACAAATTCTTGTTCACTGATCACTGCGGATGTTGTGGCGCCCCCCGATGAAAAGGAAGAGCCGAATCGTATTTTTTCTTCCTCTATACATTAAAAATCATAGATTTAAATCAAGGAGATACCTCAATTTATTAGCACTGAATATATAAATATATATATGTACATATATATACATAATATGTGAGAGAAAAATTAACATAAAGGTTGACAATATTTAAAGACTTACTGTATATTAATTGGCAAACATTTAATTTTTTGAAATCTTTTTAATGACGATTTGATGACAGTGAAAGTTTCAATATTAATGTGTGTTAAGACAGCAGTAAGCACGGGACTTTTAATATCCAAATCGGTAAGAAAGGAAACACCAGGGCTATATTTAAAAAAAACAAAACAAAAACAACAAATAATCAGACCCAAGAATTCCAAATAATCATACATTTTTTTGTATTTTTGTATATTTAATTTTTGCCCTAATCAACAACTAGAAACATTTCAGAAATGATGTGAAACGTGTTATTCATGCCGTTGCTTTTGTTGCCAGGTATGTAAAGGGTTATCCCCCTAACTCCCCGTACATCGGAAGCTCGCCCACCTTGTGTCATCTGTTAGCTGAGAAAGCCCCATTTTGCTGCCTACGACTGGACCAGGTGGGCTGACGCTGCGGCTTCAACTTAGTCACTCAGTTATTTATGGTCTCCGTCTTTTTTCTGTGTTCCTTCCCCTGTCCTTCTGTCCTTCTCCTTTCAAAACAAACCTTCAGCACCTGTGTATTTTTGTCCTCTGCGCAGGGTTGCAGGCACAACAGTTTTGAAGATGCTAAAGCGTACGGTTTTAAAAACAAACTCATCATTGTATCTGCTGAGACGGCAGGAAACGGCCTCTACAACTTCATCGTGCCTCTGAGAGCCTACTACAGGTCCAGGAAAGAACTCAATCCCATTGTTCTGCTGCTGGACAACCCGTGAGTTGCACCTGTCAACACCATTTAGAAAAAAAAGTGGTGAAAAGAATCAAATCTGATCAAACCTTTCCAGTAAACATGAACACGATGGCGTTATATAAAGTGAAAAAATTGAAATTTCTGGTTTCGAAAACGGCAACCAAGCTGTTATTAAGTGGTTGAAGGTTTTATTTCTCAGGAGCCGACTAAAATCTCTCTGTCCTCCAAAAAATAAAAAAGTATTTTTTAAAGAAAAAAACAAATAAAAAAACAAACAGATACCGTTAATGCCAGTAAACACTTTTTACATTTGTTTTTTTCTTGAGCGTTTGCCCAGGACAAACTCAGGCCCGGGGGCCAAATCTGGCCCGTGATGTAATTATATTTGGCCTGTGAGATCATATTAAATGTGTACTAGAGTTGGCCCTCCAGTATATAGCCCCTGTGTACTGGCAGGATTTGTAGTATTTTGGTTTTGTTGTTGGGCTGTGAAAAGAAAAGATTTACATTAAAAAAAGAACTTGAAAGGCTACAAATACAAAGACAATAAAAAACAATTTAAAAAAATCTCATGTATTTATAATATTAAGCTTTGAAAGAAAAATTCTACGTTACAGATCTGGAGAGAAGGGAAACAGTTAGTTTCATTGCATGTACTTAAAATTGTACCAACTTTTCTGAAACTCGCGTCTGCACTCGTACGCCCTGCGCTGCGTCATGTCGTCCTTGGGCACTGCACTGTCTAAAGTAGTGAAGCTCAGCTCAGCTGCGCTGCTAGGACCAGGCTGTGGAGGTGGAACTCCATTGTCATCTCTGATGTGAGGTTCGCTCGCTGCTCGCAGTGACAGTGTGTTTCAACAACAAAGAAAATCAAAACGTAACTCTCTGTATCCACAGACGGTCACCATGACAACATGCTTTGCCTTGAACCTGAGAAATATTCTGCAGATTGATGGGAGAGGAGGAAAAAGATGGAGGAAATGGTTTCTGTGAAACACCAAACAGTTGTTGTCATTGAGAGTTTCTGCTGCGGTCTTTTTCAGCCCACATATGCAAACGCTGCGGACCCTCATGTAAACACACAAAAAGAACAAAAACCTTCCTGCGTGTGGCATCTGGCCCTCCCCTTCTATCACCGTTCCACGGACACAAATACAAACACCCACACACTTGGAGACGCAGTTCGGTCTCTTACGACAGCCTTGGGACTGTAATCAGCACGGCCAGGCAGCTGCATAAAGTAACGTTCTGTCAGGGGAGGTGTTGGACGACAGGCAGCAATAAACAAAGTCGCTCCGTCTGCTTAGCAACAGATGGACTCGCTCAGCTCAGAGGCTCGTGGCAGCAGGCAAATCCTGAGGCTCAGGTATTTGTGACATGTCCTGTCAACGGTAAATGGATAATGAAACCATTAAAGGAGCCATCGTGTACTGTGAGAGTACTCAGTGGTCTAACTAGGAACTGTTCAAATCCCATTACTAACAGTCAACTCTTGTACTGGAAGAGTAGTCGCATCCTCACTACTGGTCCTTTGACTCGTGACTTTGACTTTGCTGTTACAGGAATGGTCCTTTGACTCGTGACTTTGACTTTTACTATGCTGTTACAGGAGGTGATGAGTACAGAACTAGTACAGTACTAGTTAAGATGACTAACTAGTAGGTGCATTATACACACCTGTTATACTACTACTGTGAGTAACCTAGTAACCTGTCTAAACTGTGGGTTCATTTTGAGGCTTAAGGGAAGACATGAACCGGGTTTCAATGTTTATGATATAAACAAAAAAAGAAAATTCTACATCTGTTAATGTATAAATATATCTCACAAATGTGCTGAAAAAAAAACAAAATAAAATATTTTTTATTAAAATAACTGAACAAATATTTGGTGCTTTCAAAATTGCAGTTCAATAAATTATTGGGGGAAAAAAACACACACACGAGTGAGTGTAATCAGACACAGGTTTAAGGAACGTTTTTTTACACATCAGATTTAGGAGGGCGGCCATGGGAGACAGGAAGTAATTAGCTAAAATATACATGAAAAGGAACCTTCAAAATAAAGAAGAAGGAAGTTTAAATGACACGTCAAAAACATCAAAAGGAAAATACAAAAGAAGAAAAAAAAAGGTTGACTTAACAATGTTGTTGCTGAGAAAGAAAGCAACTTTTGAAGTATTTTCTCTTCTTCTCTGCTCTGTGTTGTGCAGACCAGATCATCACTTTCTGGAAGCCATCTGCTGTTTCCCTATGGTCTACTACATGGCTGGCACCATGGACAAGTAAGTGAAAAAATAATTACTGGATTTGGGTCCATTTTAATTTTGCATTTCCGACCCCCTTCTTCTGGTGTGTGTTTAGCCTTGACAGTTTGCTGCAGTGTGGCATAATCTATGCAGACAATTTGGTTGTTGTGGATAAAGAGAGTACAATGAGCGCTGAGGAGGACTACATGGCCGACGCCAAGACCATTGTCAATGTGCAGACAATGTTCAGGTAAAGTTTTTTTTTTTTTAATACACTTTATTTTTTAAAGGTACATTTAAGAACAGCTTCTGTTTTTTTTCCTGTTTCTATTTTTATTTTTATTTTTTTATTTTAATGCTTAATTTTTTAAACTTTCATCTAATAGCAGAGATGTTAACAGAAGAGTGAGCACTGGTTTGTTGTTTGTACAAACAGAGCATGTAGTATTTAGGTGTTCCCACAGGTGGTGCTACAAACCCTTTTTAAATATCAAAATTAGTCAGTTTTTGTAGTTATTAAAAGTTAAAATTATTATTTTTGTGACTCACTGACACCTATTGGTTACTTTCCACTTCAAATAGCCAAAGCAAAAAAGGGAGAAAAATGAGAAAACTCCTGCAGAGGGCGGCATCACAGATCACACAACTAAGCACTTTGAGAAAATCATAAAATATGTTTCCATGGAAACACATGCAATTATTCCTGCAACGTTGTCTAACCCGTATATTACTGCACCTCAGCCGGTGTGAAGACCAAATTACCAACATTAAAGACTAATGAAAGAGGTTTTATTGATGGTTAATAGTCTCCCCCCCCCCTCTGTGTCTTAGATTGTTTCCCAGTCTCAGCATCATCACAGAGCTGACTCATCCGTCCAACATGAGATTTATGCAGTTCAGAGCAAAGGACTGTTATTCACTGGCGCTCTCAAAGCTGGAGAAGGTGAGACTCAACACGAGGGTGTATGAATCTAAACATTAGATGTAGATTAGTTCATGTATTCCTCTTTAATCTCCATCAGAAACACGCCAAATCATCATCCTCATCACGCTGTTAATCATCATCACTTTGTTCTTATTCTCTCTTTTCTTCTTTCTGAACAGAAAGAGCGTGACAAAGGTTCCAACCTGGCCTTCATGTTCCGCCTCCCCTTCGCTGCAGGCAGAGTGTTCAGCATCAGCATGTTGGACACACTTCTCTATCAGGTTTGAAATCACACCTGCAGACCAACTTTGGGCAGATGTGTCTCCCGGCAGGAGAGAGAATCTTGCTACAACAGCTTGAAAATCACACTAATAGTGCCCTCTGGTGGTGCCCTGGTGTGTTAAAGATTTTCTTCTTTCGTTGTTTTCTTTGCCTGGTGTGTTAAAGATTTTCTTCTTTCTTTGTTTTCTTTCGTTATTCCATGTCAGTCTTTTGTGAAGGATTACATGATCCTCATCGCCAGGCTGCTGCTGGGACTGGACACCACTCCAGGATCGGGATACCTCTGCGCTGTGAGTTACACAGAGCTTCCAGAAGGGGGAGACGGTGAAGTTAACGGTGCTAAATTATTTCAGAAACTAAAAGTTTCCCTTTTTGTTCCAGATGAAAGTGAATGAGGAAGATCTGTGGATTAGCACCTACGGCAGACTGTTCCAGAAACTCTGCTCATCGAGTGCGGAAATTCCAATCGGCATCTATCGAACTGAGTGCCACATTTTTGCGTCTTCTGAGGTAGGGCCTCCGGGGGTTCAAACATTTGTTTTTGATATGACGTGACTCTACAGACCTCACATCAGCAGTTTGTGGAATCTGTGGAAATCTCTGTTGCCCAGGATCGAGGAGAACGTCTTTATAAGCGTAGAAATTAAAAATCAAACGCACGTGATGATGTGTTCACTGACTCCAGAGGTAAATTCCTGCATCTCTAACTCAGTCTCAGGTCTCAGTCAGTGTTGATGACTGTGAAGACACCAAGGACAAGGCCGAAGAAGCCCGCAGCACCGACCAAACAGATCACCCACTGCTGAGGAAGAAGAGCATGCAGTGGGCACGGCGGCTCAGCAAGAAAGGTGGGAAATGGCAGGGACTCAGCAGGGATTCTAGCAAGGAGCACAGCCAGCGCATCACCCAGCAACGCCTCAGTCTTTACAGACGCTCCGAGAGGGAGGAGCTGTCTGATCTGATCCGGAACCGTATGAGACACCTGGGCCTCCCCACCTCGGGATACGGTAAGGGCGGCGTCGTGGTTCGAAAAAGTGTTCAGTGTTTTCTATTGCCAAACTGTCATGTTTTTTTCCTCTGACCTGTTGCGTGTAGAAGACCTCGCCAATCTCACCGCCAGTGACGTCATGAACAGAGTCAATCTGGGCTACTTACAAGGTAAGGAATCGAACAGCACATGCTGTAGCTGTGGTAGTTGATGAATCAGAATATTAAGGAATTATATCCTCATCCCACCATTTCCTTATTTCAGATGAACAGAACGATCAGCAAAACACACTGTCATATGTTCTGATCAACCCTTCACCTGACACCAGGCTGGAACTCAACGATATTGTGTAAGTATTTCACTACATAAGACTTTTACATATGATTCTGGGAAAAAAGGAAATGACAAGTGTCTATAACAGGGAGGTTTGGAGGGGGGGGATCATGACAGAAAATCATTGAGAACCACTGCTGTAACCCAATCACCTTAGTGACCTTAGGGGCCACTTAGCTTCTTAACCACCAGACGGCCACAGCACCGCTGTATCGGTGTCATCGGTGTTTGTTTTGTTACAATATTTATCTTAGTATTACAGTACTGTTTTTTACTCTCTGTCCCTGAGGTACAATTCCTCCAAACTGTTGACATTGAGGTCCTGTTTAAATAAACTACACATGAAGATGATGAGACGCTGAGCTGTGGTAGAAAAACACACAACACGGTCTGACCAATCAGCAGCTGGTTTCTGGTGAAAAGCTGTTACATTGTTGGCACTTTGTTAGTATTTGAATAAAGTATCGTCCCGATCTCAGTATCAGTGTTGATACGTCTAAAAAATGGTCTATTGGCCCCCATGTAGTACCTCAGTGGAACCACTAGGAGTTACAGACACTATCATGGAGACCTCTTCTTTACAGTATCAGTGGTGAAATCCTCCCACACTGAATGGAACACGCTGGACAGCCATGTCCGTTAACTCTCTCACCCTCCTCACCCTCCTCA